TGGTTTTGGCTACTAAACAGGAAACTCAAAGCCCTTTCCGTTGCTTTGAGCTAGCTGGAAGGGCTGGGCCTGAAATGATTACTTTCCTATAAAGGACAGAAGAAAAGTTCTGTGTAACTTAAAAAACAAAAAAACTTTCCCAGAGCCCTAAATACCAGCCGTGGTTGAAACACAACATGGCAAAGAGCTGCCTTGTTGCCTGGCAGTGCTGACAGCCAACTAATGTGTCTGACCGTCTGTTTGGGATCTCCTAGCCTGAGATTCTGGTTGCTTCATCCTGATTGCTCCCTGAACCTCTTCTCAGTCTCCCCACCTTTGGTACCACCCTCACTCGGGGGAGTGCCAGGCTGTGCCTGGTTGCGCCAGGCGGGGCCGGGCCCCACAGGATACAGCGACCCAGCCGGGGCTATTCTTGTCTGTGTCTATTTGCAAGATGCCTGTTGTTCTCAGTCGCTGTTTTTCCCATCGTAACTGTGGACTTGGCAGGGGGCCCGTGTGAAAGGCCTGGTGGGAGAGCTCTGCCCCAGGAAACGCGGCTGCTCCCAAGTGCCAGGCTGAGGAAGCAGGTTCTCAGACAGCCGCTCAGGGGCCACCTGAGTGGATGCTGCCGGATGACAGCCCCGCTTGGGTCCGGTACCCTTTTGCAGAGCGCCGGCGCCTGCCAGCACGCTGTCGTGGAACAAGCCTGCGCGAACCATAGTGGCCCTGCGAGGTGCCGCTGGGGCTGGCTGGCTGGCGTTTCTCTTCTGTGTGTGTCCTCCCCTAGCCCCACTTTCTAGGAATTCTAATCTGTGTCAGGCCAGAGAACATTCCTCTTGGGCCCTACCCCAGAGCCCCAGAGCAGTGGCCTCCAGACTTTTTTAAAATCACACACCCCTGGCAGTAAAATGTTCGTGCATATACTCCTAATTTGCATACTTACAAATGGTATGCATGTGCTGCTATGTAATGTGTACATTAGAAACATATAGGCAAAGGAAATCTTAATAATTTATGTAATTTTAAAGGACGGAAGAAAAAGGAAAAAATTATAAAATTTGCTTTTAATCTGATTTAATTGAAGGTATAGGTCATTGAATATACTCTTTAAACAAAATTAAATCTTGTTCCTCACTTTCTGATTCCGTGATTCCAAGGTCCGTCCCACGCAGAGTGCATTTCGGTACTTCATTGTAAGTTTCCTTCGCTGGAAACGGACTTTCAAAGAAAGGGCGATTCCGTGGAACATGTGTAGCGTCGTCGTGCTTACCAAATCCTGACCCCATTTTCCAGCCCCTCCACCAGTTACACAAAGGCTTTTGCTGAACTTTGCAGTTGCTCTTGCGGTTTTTAACAAGGCTGCAAACCCCTCCGAAGCTCTTTGTTTGGAATTCTTTTAAATAGATAAGGAAATTGTTTACAGTTCCTCATTATACAACTATAGGAGTACAGTGTGGAGGTACAGGAAACTTTAGAGATGGCTATTCTTTAAAATTTTATTGGATTTTTAGTTTTTATTTATCTAATTGGATTTTTAAAAATGATTTTTAATTCTGTATACAGTAAAATTATAGTCCTGTGAGTGTTGACATACTCTTGTAACCATTCTCACAAGTCAGAACAGTCTCACCACCCCATCAGCCCTTTGTGGTCAAATTCTCCCCTGTTCCATAGCCTTTGGCACCGCTGGTCACCTCAGCCCAGTGCACTTCAGGTTCATCCATGTTGCTATGTGTATCCGTAGTCAGATATGTGATTTTCAGATATTTCCTCCCAGTCTTATTTTTTTAATTCTCTTACGAGTATCTTTTTCAGAGCAAATGTTAAAATTTTTTTATGAAGTTCAATTTGGCAGGTTTTAAAAATTAATTATGTTCCTGTTGAAGTATCTTAAGAAATCTTTTCTAACATTAAGTAACAAAGATTTTCTCCTGCATTTTCTTCTAAACATTGTCCATTTTGAATTAATTTGTGCATAGGCATTTCCATTGTAGACTACAAAGATCACACAAAATGAAAATACTGCCAAATGCCAGTTCTCTTCATAGCAAAAGTTTCTTTTGAAAAGGAATTATATTTCCATTCCCTGTTAAAATGTCACCTTTACTTTGAAGGGACAGATTTAGTGTGTTTATGTTTTTGGAAAATCTGGCAAAATAGCTTACTTTTTACCACAAAAGGCAGCTAGTTTGGAGTGCTCGTCTTTTTGCAAAAGAAAAATGTATAACTTATATTTACATTTTAAAGATTTTTTTATGTAAATGAGCCTCTTTGTGGTCCTTTATCTCATTACAAAAAATTACAAGGATCCTACTGTTTCAAGATCTGCTTTTATGAGCTCAGTCTCCTTATTGACATCCTAGAGCACAGAAATAGTGGTATTCATGACGTGCTGAAAGCAAAGGCAGAAGAGTATCCCCCCAAAAAAACAACACACACACAGCGAGAGCCCCATACTTCCTGTTAGATACCTGTACACATGACACATACTAGCCCAGGAAGATCCCAGAGGCAATCCATGTCTTATGTCTGTTTAGCGAAACTTTAAAGATGAAAGAGAATAGATAAAATTTCCAGTATTCTTGTCCTACTCTGGGGGGTTGTCATGTGTACCTTCTGGGGATACCGCTGCCCTGGAAAGTCTTAGAAAGCTGCCTCGCTTCCTGCTTTCCACTTGTGCCAAACAGATAGTGGGTGACCTGTGAGTGTTTGAGAAACAGATGACTTTTCCTGTCATAAATGGTAAAGCTGTGGTGCCGTTTTCCTGCCTGCTTTCTTCTAGAATTTATTTTCCCATTACCACCTTCATCTAAGCTCTGAACTTAAAGGTCTTAACAAATGTTTTTTACTTACTTTTTAAATATATCTTTATTGATTTCAGAGAGGAAGGCAGAGGGAGAGATAGAAACATCAATGATGAGAATCATTGATCGGCTGCCTACTGCACGCCCCCTACTGGGAATTGAGCCCGCAACCCGGGCATGTGCCCTTGACTGGAATTGAACCCAGGACCCTTCAGCCTGCAGGCCGACGCGCTATCCACTGGGCAAAACCAGCTAGAGCTTGACAAACGTTTTTTAGAGGATGACACTCCTGATTATTCATAATGTATGGCCATTGAACTATAAGTGAATATAATTTTGGAGCTGGCAGGGGACTTGGAGGTCAGCTAATCCAAATTCGTTCTTAAAATCAAATAAAAAAATTGACAGGGAACAGGAGGCGTCCAGAACACAGGTGCCAGTGGGACACCTCTTCCTGGGGAGGTCAGAGGAAGCCGAGCGGAGACTTAGCATTGGTGGGTGAAGAGCCTCCCCCCCGGGGCAACATTGTGGGCAAAGTTGGTGAAGTGCAAGTTCCAGGAACTTCATGGGGTTGGGCCCGACTAGAGCAAAGGCTACCATGGGAAAGGAGCAGGAGAAGAGGCTGCAGAGGTGGTGGGGCCAGATCCTGAGGCCCTTGCTATCCTGGCTGGGCTCAGGTGTCTTCGTGCTCTAAGGTTGAGCCAATAGGTTGGCCAAATCTGTGCTCTGTGTCCCTGGGACATCATCTCATCCAAACACTTCCCGGCTTCAAGGCTGTGACACTCATCTTCATGCTCAATTCTAGTCTGAGAGCTCCTGTGTTCCTCAGGGATGTTTCAAGACCCAGGAGAGTTGGTTTAGGTTTGAGCAGCAGCTGGGGAACATCTGGAGCTACACACCTGGGAGCAAAGGCTTCTGGTGTGTTTGTATGTTGGAGGCAACCAACGGTTCAGCTGCCCCAGAGGCAACTTTCCCACAAGTCAAGCATTCTGCCTTTCTCTCTGGCTGGCTGCACTGATCCCTGAAGTCCTGTGCTTCTGACAGCGACTGTCTCGTGGGCACCGATCTGCATCCGGTCTGGTTAACCAGTCACTCCCAGGTTTCTCCAGCCACTGAGTAACAGAGGTCATGGGAGAGCCCCTTTTGCGTTGGTTTGTTTTCAGAGTGGATTTCAGAGCAGACTGAGATATTTAATTCAGGGTACAACCGTCAGACCATTAAAAATGCAGGCAGCAATGCAGAACACGGCTGGCTCATGTCAACCAGACATTTCAGGGTAACCGGAGGAGGCAGACATGGGTAGGGCCGGTGTTAGTGGGAGTAGACGCCAAATGGCATGGCAGGCCCTGGCTCCTGTTTCTCCTGTTCCCTGCCACCCTCCAGCCGGAAGAGAAGAAAGCTCACATTTAAGCTAGACGTTTAAATGGGAGTGCTGCTTAGTGAGCACTCCTGTGACCTGGAGATCAAGTTGCTCACACCTCAAAGGGAGACGTCCCATGTAAGAGGGTTGTAACTGTCATGGAGGTTAGACTCTACACCAGTGGTTCTCAACCTTCCTAATGCCGCGACCCTCTAATACAGTTCCTCATGTTGTGGTGACCCCCAATTTCATTGTTACAAATTGAACATAATTAAAACATAGTGATTAATCACAAAAACAATATGTAATTATATATGTGTTTTCCGATGGTAGTTAGGCGACCCCTGTGAAAGGGTCGTCCACAGGTTGAGAACCACTGCTCTACACGAAGGCACGGCACATGAGAAGAAGGTGGGTTTGATGGTTTCTTCTTGCCTCAGGGACTCTTCGCTGTCTCTGTAGAGTTGGACCAAGAGGGTGAGCAAAAGTACCGGTGCTGGTTTCCATGCCCTAGACTACTCGAGGAAAGCCGTGGCCAGCACACAGGGCTGAAATCAAGTGGGTCTCGGAAAGGCCAGTGTGGATCAGTGATCTCAGGTGGATCAGGAGGGAATTGGGAGTTTGCGTTTTTAAATACCTTCTCACCTGGGCTACTGGAAATGAGACAGTCCTGGTGTGGGCTGGCCAGGCTCCTTAGCTCTGTCTGTTCTGCCTTCTCCTGGAATGCTAACTGGCTCACTGCTCCCTTTTTTCTTTGTCAGTCCTGGAAGGTCATGATCACTGTGATTTGGGCTGATTTTCCTGAATGGGTGAGGGAAAGAGACGTCTAACCATCGATTTGTCTTCTTGCATTTCAGTCGTTCCAAGGAAGTCAAGGACGTGCATACCTCTTTAACTCCGTGTGAGTGTCTCTTAACAGTACATCCATTGTTTGGTGCAAATTTGAGGGTTGGGGGGAAAACACAACACTCCATAATTAAACAGTGGACCCTGCCCTCTGTGCCACAATAAAAAAACCCGTGGCATGTTGTGCTCCACAAGTGGTCGCCAGTTATCTTTGGGGGATTTTTTGGCAGCATCTTTGGCTACAAACAATATATTCCCTAGCCCCAGGAAGCACCTCAGAGAGCTGTGGTCTCATAGGGAAGAAGCTGAAGTGCCTCTTAGAAAGCCTCCATGTGAGGGCTTATAACAAGGTCTGAGACATGTTGGGAAAAGGAAGAGATTTCACAGAAGACACCAGCATCTACTGGAGGACCTAAGGCTGGAGAGAAGGCCCAGTTAGGGAAAGCCCTCCAGTTCTCCGGCAGATGCACAGTCTGCCCCAGGCCTCAGTCATTAACCAGGCACTCATTTACGGCCTCTTCCCGGCAAAGGAAGGTGAAGCGCACGCAAGCCGAGGAGCTGTGACAGTGGAAACCCTGCGTGCACAGTTGAGGTGGTGCGTGCTCTGTGGAGGAGCAGAGTGTATTTGATACCCAGGGCTCGCTCACCCTTATGCTCAGGGCAAGACTGGGCTGTCATGTTTCACATTTCCGGCTGCAGCCAGCCCCCAGGAAGCTCCGAGGAGCTGTGCCCACGGCTGAGAACTTTTACAGTGTGGCCGTCAGTTTGTCCCTTTATATCACAAGATTGAGAGCACCTCTTAGGAACATTCCAAGCAAAATCTCCACCACCGAGACTATTTTTAGTCACCTTGTTGAATCAGAACTTGCAGACCTAAAATTCACTTCAGTGGAGATTTTCCACGTGGCTGTCCTTTGGGGGTTGTTATGATTTCAGTTATGGGGGCACCCTCCTTGGTGTGGGCTTCCCCCGAGGCCGCTGTGCTCAGTGAATTTTTTGCTGGGAGCTCAGCTTGAGCAACTGATGCTGAACAGGTGACTGACTACCCGTTCTCTCTTTCTGTCTCTTGGCATAGAGTTAATGTGGGCTGCGGGCCTGCGGAGGAGCGAGTGTTGCTAACAGGACTGCACGCAGTCGCAGACATTTACTGTGAAAACTGCAAAACCACTCTGGGCTGGAAATATGTAAGTATTGAGAAGTCTGGTGGAGAGAGGGACATGCAGGGGAAGCCGAGAGCCTCGCTCTAGAAGTAACCTTTCTGTGGCCTGGGGGTACTGTCTTTGACCAGGACGGGAACCTGACCCCAAAGAGCAGCTCATGGCACACTCCTGTTTGCCACAGGCATTCTTCCCTTTTTACTACTCATTCCCTCACACCACCCCTGAGACAGACAGACACATACACACACACCCTTTGCCTTTAAATAAATAATAATTACACTGGCACGGAGCATTTCCTGACAGCTTACTGTGTTCCAGGCATACATTATTTTATTTAGTCTTCACAGTATCCCGAGAGCAGCGGTTCTCAACCTGTGGGTCGCGACCCCTTTGGAGGTCGAACGACCCTTTCACAGGGGTCGCCTAAGACCACCGGAAAACACATATATAATTACATATTGTTTTTGTGATTAATCACTATGCTTTAATTATGTTGAATTTGTAACAATGAAATTGGGGGTCACCACAACATGAGGAACTGTATTAAAGGGTCGAGGCATTAGGAAGGTTGAGAACCACTGCCCTAGAGGATAGGTCATATGTTAATCCCTATTTTTAAAAAATAAGTTTTTATTGATCCGAGAGGAAGAGAGAGATAGAAACATCGTTGAGAGAGAGTCATTGATCGGCTGCCTCCTGCACGACCCCCCACTGGAGATTGAGCCCACAACCCCTTCATGTGCCCTGACCAGGAATTGGACTCTGACCTCCGGATTCACAGGTCGATGCTCAAACTCTGAGCCACACCAGCCGGCTTAACCCCTATTAAGGATGAGGACACTGAGGCTTAGGGAGGTTAGTAGTACGTACAATGTTATCTAACCATTACATGAATGGGGTCCAGGTCGTGGTCTGACTGCAGCGCCCATGCTTTCATGCCCCAGTAAATGCCCCCAGAGCAACTCTAGTCCTGGGCCCTGTGCTCGGCATCATCAAGTATTGGTAGTGCATGCCCACTGTCAGCCATAGTCACGGCTGGACTTTGCCAACCAGACATTCATCCCTTCGTTGCTTAACTCAGCAAGTATTTTCCACACCTTCTCGGTACCTAGGAAAGTCAGCAGTCCTTTGCCAGGGTGGGAGGAGGTATATGTGTTCTATGAAAATACTTGTATTATTGTTGTTGTTTTTACTGGGTGATCTTTCACAGTGCTTTTCTCTGCCCTTGCGGTCACTGTGGCGGAATTGAACAAATGAGTCTTCCTATCTCTGGGAGGGCAGCTTATCCCATAAGATCCCTTACATTCCGCCCCATCAGTTGCCTAGGGCCATGTCACCTGCGTCAGGTAGGAGGAACCTGCAGGATTCCAAGCTGCTGGCAGAAGGATAATGACGTGTGGATGTGGGTTTGTTGTTGTAACACATGTACCACTCTACGGGGTCTGCTGGTGGGGGAGGTTGTGTGTCTGTGGGAGCAGGAGAGTAGAGGGGAAATCTCTGTGCCTTCTGCTCCTTTTTTGCTGTGAGTCTAAAACTGTTCTGAAAATAGGACTTCTATTTAAAAAGGATGTTGAACAATGGAAGCCAGGCATAAAAGTATGCTTGCATTTAAATAAAGTTTAAAAATATGCAAATCTTGAAACCGGCTGCAGGTGGAGTCTGTAATGAGCAGCATTTGCATCTCCCTTGAAAGGTTTGGATTAGAAAGGAAAAAGCCTAGACGCTGTGTTTCACGACACCAAGGTGGTTTGGCCCGAGCTCCCTATGGTTCCCTTGGTGGTTTCTTCTGGGGAAAAACTGGCCTTGACCATTCGCCCCGCTCCCACCCCCCTGTGTGGCCACTGGCCCTGCTGGGTGATCTGGGGGCCACGGTTCTGGATTGATTATCCAGTAACGTTCTCCCCCTTCTCTGGGCTGTCTGATTCCTTTCAGGCGGTGCTGGGTTACAGACAGAAGATAAGTCTGAGTTGGTTGGTTTTGCTCCTAAATTACTTCAGGGCAAATGACTCACCGCTTGACAGAGCTTTATTGAGAGCCTTTGTGTTTGTTGGATACAAAAGAGAAGGAAGCTATGTAGTCCTTGCCCCTGGGTGTTCGCAGTCCTGGCCGGGGAGCAAAGCCACAGGTAAACGGAGGAGGTAGTGGGGCCGGTAGAATGTATGCATCCATCTCCCCAAATATCTGTGGATCGCCTCTGTGTACCGGGCCAGTGCTCCAGCCTTCACCCCATGATTTCTTCTGACCCGCACAGTAATCCTGTGAAATGCTTTAATTGTCCCAGTTTTGTAAATGGAAAGTTTATCATTTTGTACATTGTAAACCGTTAAGTGGCGCTTCTGACACTGGGAAGCAGAGTGGAGCTCTCCGCTGGGGTGGAGTTCAGACTCCAGATGTGGTGCTCCGCCCACTGGAGCCCAGTGGTGACATTGTGCAAATGCCCTGTGACTTCGGGAGTGTTGATTTTTTTTGTATTTTGTTTTGTGTGTGTGTGTTTTTTTAATAAGGATACACTCCCACTTTCCTAGTTTTGTTTTTTCCTCTCCCCACCCTGAACACACTACTATGGGACAATAGGTCTTATTTCTGAACCACATTCTCTGCTGTATGCACCTCTTTCTCTCTCTCTCTCTCTCTCTCTCTCTCTCACACACACACACACACACACACACACACACACAGATGGGGAATAATGAAGTGTCAGGAATATCACTGCTGAGCCCACAGCTCTTGTGTGTGGTGTTAGTGCATTCTCTGTTGGAGCCCGTCCCTCTCTACTCTGTGGAATGAGTCCTCTCAACCAAAGACTGAAGGCTGAACTCTCCTCCTGCAGCCCAGAGCCCTGAGCTCTAGGCCAGAAGAACCTCTCGTCAGTAGGATTTAGATACTAATATGGGGACTCAGGAGGAAGAGCTGATGTCCACTGCTTCTCTGCACTGACCTTAGCCGTCCAATGACTGCTCATCCACCAGGATGTTTTAGGTATCTATGCCTGCAAATAACAGCCCCCTGACCTCACTCCTGTGAAGGACTTCTCTCTGTGTGGGGCTTATCACAAGCTGGAAAGTCCGCAGTGCTGCAAGGTTAGTGCGGGGAGCTGCCAGGTACTTTGTGCTTTGTAGTGAGCGCCCCCCCCCCGCCCCCCGGAGGCCTGGCAGCTGGGTGGGCTCATACAGCTCCTGTGTCTCTGGAGAAAGGCAGAGAAGGAAAAACAGACGTAACACATCTGACATAGAAACAGCAAGGTAAGAAATGAAAAGACCTGTTTGGCCTCACCATACTTTGTTTCTCTCCCTGTCTTTTCTCTAAGCCTAACAAAGTCTAGTTTTAAAATATAACACAGACATTGTACGAACACATCCATAGGGCAGATTTCTGGTTAGCGTCAGACACCAAGTTCCCCAAGACAAAATATAGGGTGTCCCCCAAAAGGCATACACATTCGTATACACAGATGAATGAAATGCATTCATTCATTCGGCAGTTATTTATCGAAGACCCGTTATGTGCCGAGCAGTCTTCTTGGCGCTAGGGATAGGCCCGTGAACAGAACAAAGGAAATGTCTGCCTCCCACGAAGTTGATGTCGTCGTAGTGGGAGGCAAGACAACGCACAAAATAGACGCGCAGGTTACAGCGCACATTGGAAAGTGATACTCTGCTGTGGGGAGGGATTGCGGTGGAAGCTCTGGTCTTAAGTCGCTGAGTTTTGGCAAGAGCCTACTGAGATGGTGACATTTGGGCAAAGACCTGAATGAGCAGAGATCCTAAGGCAATTCTGTTGTAAATGTGGAGGAAGCCCTGGGGTCGCCCCAGTGCCCTAGTGCATTGAAAGGGACACAGTGTCCTTACGTGGCGGAGCGGGAGTTCCCTCCGTGAGTCTGGGTACAGCGGGGCAAAGGCTTCTCTGCCTGCCACGGGCCCCGCCTTTGCACCTGTGCCACCAACGTCACCTGCTTGTCTTCGGTCACTGAGCACCTTTTCTCTTCCTTGTGTTTCCTAGGAGCACGCCTTTGAAAGCAGCCAGAAATATAAAGAAGGGAAATACATCATTGAGCTGGCACACATGATCAAGGACAATGGCTGGGACTGAGCCGGGAGCCGCCGCCGCCAGCCGTGTCCGCGTGAACGCCACCCAACTGAACATTCTACCCAAGCGTGAGAGAGTGACTGGACACTTGGTTCCATCCATGTAGGGGCCTGGCCCCCTGGGGCATCCGCCCACCCCGACGCCGTCTTTCTGGTGACCGGCCTCTAAATCGCTGTCTCTCTGTCTCTATGCTTTGTATCTGTTTGTGAGTTGATCCTGGCTTCTCTCTCTGTTCTCGTGTTGGCTGAAAACAAAACAGCAAAAGGAACAGACGCCTGACCGCATGGCGGCAGCCCACGCTGATCAGGGCCTGGGGCCCACGTGAGAGCTGCCTGACGGCCTCTGGTCGGGGGAGCAGTGCACGGCGGGGTGTGAGCAAGGGGGAACTTTGAGGGTTCCAGGGTGGGCAGGGGACGGGAGGGGAGAGGTAGGGACACAATTGTGCTACTCCCGGAGACCTGGTAACTTAGGCTTGAAGTAACCAAGTTGTCTAAAAGGACAAAGAGAAAAAAAATACCTCATGGCCGTGCTCTCTCTGATCAGAAGTTTCTGCTCCTGACACCACAGGGGCCAGGTGAGCAGGTGGGCCCCAGAGTGGCCCTAATCCTAGCTGGCGGGGCAGCGGCCTGCTTCTCCTGGGCCAGTCGGGGTGTCTGGAGGCTGTGAGTGATTGTGGGGGAAGCCCAGCTGGGTTTGGATGACTCTGGAGCCCCACCGCTCCTCTGGGTAATCTTCGTTTCCTCTCCAGCCACCAGAGGTGAGAGGAGGGGGACTGCCATTTGCAATGGGTGCAAAATCCAAACATCCCAAAGGCTGTGACCAGGAACCAGGTAAAAATCAGTAATTGAGGAGAACAGGGAACAAGGAGCTGCAGTTCGCGGGAGCTCTTGCAGAAATGGCTCAGATATTGGGCTCGGAAAAAACTCCATGTAAAACCAATTAGCATTTCTGCGTGTCTGACCGTTTCCCTGGCCCTCAGTGAGAGGAGAGAGCGCCGTGGCGAGGAACGGGGTGTGGGGGGCGAAGCTGGGAGGAGCCTAGCTTTGAACCACTGCAGGTGCGGTGCCTCTTCCTTCCGTCTCTGGTGTGCAGCAGCTTCAGGGAGGTCAGCAGTTCTCCGTACATAGAGTTTTGGGGTGGTTTTCTCCAGTTCTATCGTCATAGTTTGTGGAAAACAAAGTCCCAAGGGTTTGAGCTTAGTGATAGCTTGAATGTGAAGAAAACTGTCCGAATGGTCCAGTAGGGGGAGGGATCAGACTTGATGTCAGATGTCAAATTTTACTATTACCCAACACCCCCGCTCCTCTCCTCCTTATCAAAGTTCATTATCTTAGGTGAAGTGGAGAACAAATCCCTGTGAGGCTCCTGAGAGAGGGAGGAGTCTGTTACATTTAATCAACACTGTGAAGTCTGTTCCACAGCAGTTTAGCCAGTACACAGCGCATGACAGAAACTCGTTGAGCTGAGTTCATTTCATTGCTTGGACTGAAAATATTATTGTTCAGATATGTGTAAGTTGTGTCAGGTAATCCTCAGTATCTCATTCTCCAGGTAGGCTGATCCTACAGGAATATTCACCTTAGAAATCACAAAAGAGTGTGTTCATGGAGACAAGAGTCTATAAAATTGATTAACCAAGATTCAAGCAGCCAACCCAGGATTTTTCAGAATTGAACCAAATTCCCCTAGGGCAGTGGTTCTCAACCTTCTGGCCCTTTAAATACAGTTCCTCATGTTGTGACCCAACCATAAAATTATTTTCATTGCTACTTCATAACTGTAATGTCGCTACTGTTATGAATCGTCATGTAAATATCTGATATGCAGGATGGTCTTAGGCGACCCCTGTGAAAGGGTCGTTCGACCGCCAAAGGGGTGGCGCCCCACAGGTTGAGAACCGCTGCCTAGGGAATGGGTCGGCGGTGGAAATGCCTTTTTGTGTCTCTGTGTGCTGACTGCAGGATGGGGGGCCTGAGATGGCGTGGTCCTGCCGGCCGAGGTGGACAGCAGGACAGAAGGCAGGGGGCTCCAGGCTCACAGTAGACTGCCTCTGTAAGACTTCTGAGTTTTAGAAATGGAACTTTGTTCCCAAAGGCTTCTCGCCCACATCTTCGGTGCTTTAGTAGCCCTGGGAGATTTTGTTCTCCTCACATTACTGAAAAGCAGACTGAAGTTTTTTTTAAAAAAAAAAAAGTATTGCGTTTTTCCTCCCAGAGAAATAGTTCCTCTGGTTCCCAGGCACTCCCAGGCCCAAGATCTCAAAAAATAAATTTTTTACGACTTTCACATTCCTCAGCGGGCTTGCCAGCCCAGAAGTCATAGATTCCCTTCCAGCCCCCTGAAGGTAGTGGCCTTCAGTTACGAATTTTGATTAGCCCCCTTGCTCAGGGAATGTCCTGGCAATTGATACTCCTTCCCATAATAAGAAAACGGGGCTAAACATGGGTAAGTGTTTTGTCTTTGAAAGTAAGAATGGAGTATGACAACAGAGAAACCAGACATGAGGTGCCCTGGAATTTTCAACAGAAGGAGACCGATGTGTCCCTCTTCTTCCTTGGGGGTGGGGCCTGCACGGATCAGCCCAGGCTCCAATAAGACCCTGGTTTTGGTGTTTTGGTTTTTTTGTTTGTTTTTTAAATTAATATTATCCATTGAGCATCCAGGGGTGGAGGGCACCATACGTGGTGCAAAAAGACCTGAGTAAAATGTTGTTTTTTTCCATAAATATAGAAAAACAAAAACCCAACTCATTAGGCTTTCCCTTCATGTCAATGAAACCAAAAGTGCTTCTTAAACCTTCAGCTCCATTCATGGCTTGTCTGCCTGACGTCTGGTGGTATCAGAGAGCCCTCGGCTGAGCAGTGGAGATGCATCAACGCATGGCCTCAGTCACTTCATTCTTTAATTTTCCTCACCAAATCATTGACTCAGCATAACCAAAGACCTCGTCCACTCACCCCTGGTAGGTTCAGGGAATTGGGGTTGAGGGAGTAAGGAAGGGGAGGCGAGGAGTGAGAAAGGAATCGGCCCAGAGTTCTGTGCCTCCAGCAGCTGCCTTCATTGTCCGCTCAAGTCCAGCCACAGACGCTCCAGTTCCATCCCAGGTCACATGGCCTTGGTGGCCCTGGCTGACACCCACCCCAGCCCAGCCCATCCTTGCTGTTCGTCTCAGGCTGCTGATGGGCTGAATTGGCACGAATCAAATTCAGCCGAAGTTAAAAGCCACAGATTGTCATCTGGGCCTGACTGAGTGGTGCCCCGACTCCGTGGACAGTAGTAAGATCAGGGACATAGGATGGAGGACATCTTTCCTGGCAGGTCAGTGTGTGAAATAGAGGCATCCCCTTTATACAAAGATTTTCAAGTGGGTATATATAAAAGAAACAGTTGCTTGTGAATATATACTTTTGTAAATAATATTTAATTTTTTAAATAATATATTTGGTGCTGTTTTCTCAGATCCCCTGAGAGCACTTTTTATTTTTCATTTTTAAATTTTATGGTTTTTCTCTGCATTTCTTGAAGTATATTTTAAGGGAAACAGTGATCACCAATGTATTCTTTTTTAAAAAAATAAAAAAAGATCTCCGTCACATTAGTCTGGAGGCAATAAAGCAATGCCTTGCTGTATTTTTCCCCATTGGAATGGACTCTACATTAGCAGGTTGAGAATCCAAGTATTTCCTTGCACCAGTATTGGCTAGAAAAGAAATAAATATAATCAAATAAATTTAGTAACAGAGTGAAACAAATTGGAAAATTGGAATCGTGTGTGTGTGCGTGTAAAGTACTTTGGATTGTGCCTCCTGTTTTTTTTATTGGGGACACTATACCTATAGTTTACACCTTGGGCACATAATGATTTCCCTTCTCTTTCTCTCTGGTGGTAGTTTTGTTCCTGAGTGGACCAACAGCACAAACCTCGGGTCTTGTTTTCCTGAGCGTGGCACTGTTGCCGGTTTACTCCCGTTTCTTTCCTTGTGTGCTCAACTTTTCCAGACCTTAAAGGAAACCTGTTTGTGAAGATCAGGCAGAGTCAGATCTGTGGTTTTCTGAGATGTGAGTGTCTGCATCACACATCCCAGGGCTCCAGTTGTAGAAGCCACATCATGGTAAAACATGGACTGGTTTGGGTTGAAAGAACAGTAAGAAAATAATGCACGTACCTTGTTAATAGCAGCTTTTTATTAAAAAAAAAAAAAAGTTCAGATTGACCCAGGAAGAGGCTGAGAAATCAAATCTTGAACACAGTCAACTCACATGTTTTTTAAGTCTGCCTCAAGTGAGAAAATGTGCTAATAATGGTCTAGGTAGAGGAAAGAGATGTTTAATTTTAAAAATTAAAATACAGGCATGAACTCTGCCAGTAATATAAGGTAAAGCAAGAATAAACAAGCTATTCTCATTTTTCCAAATTCTATCTGCCCATACGTTTTGTATAAAATTTCAGCGAGAGTGAGAGTTCCCTTCTCCAACCTGCAGAGGCGATCTTTGAATACAGAGTCTATTTATGCTCGTGTTTACAAACTACGTGTTGGGTTTGGGTTTTGTTACTTTCTTTTGTTTATCTTTTTGTTGTTGTTGTTGTTGTTGGCATTTTTCAGGTCACTTTGCTTTAATAACAAAGATGATTATTTTCAAATAATTTGTCATCACCTTTTCCTGTATTTGTACATAGTGGTTCAGTATTAGAGAAAAGTGCATTGTTTCTGTCATATTTCCAATCTGTGTTGGTGCTCATTTGAGAAAATAAAGTTTTCAAATATGAATTCTCTGGAGAGCTCATCTGTCTTAATTGACCCAGCCAGTTTTATCTTAACATTTAATATTTAAAGTAACTGAAAGGCCTGGGGGAGGTCACCCCACTCACAGATCTGTTGACTGAGGCGTTATTTTCTCCAAGGACGGTTTGCCCATTAATGAATAAAAATCAGGTCTCCTCCTTATCTATCGGCAAATGCTTCTCCTGGCTTCGGGTATCAGAAATGCATGAGTGACCATTATCCTTTCTGTCTACTCAGCCCATATTCTTAGCTTTTCTGTTTATACCGGTTTCCTTGGAAATAGGAATGCATTAGGTAAGCGGGTGGGGTGGGGGGAGTACAAAAGAACAAAATTATGTCAAAAAGAGGCGGCAGGATCTCTGAATTGACGATTCAAGTCTTCTCAGTCACCGAACACATTTATTAAACACCTTCTGTTAGATTCCAGACAAGGTGAGGCAAGTTAACATCCTACCAGTCAGCTGGTTTTGTTTCCCAAGTGCCTTCCCTGCAGCCTCGTCCGCAGGCACACAGTCTCCCAGAGCCAGTTGTAAGTACAGTTTTATATTCTGGTACCTTCGTGTTGCAGTGCAGACGATTTTGCCTAGACGTCATCCGTTTATATCATACTTTAAGCACTTTTTCCACAGTTGGCCTCCCTAAATCACATGGAAAGAAAATAGTAAAGCCACACAAGTCTGGTAAAATCTTCCTGTTACCCAACACCATTCTGGTTTTGTTTTGTTTTTTAACTTTTCAATTTATTACAGAGAGGAAGGGAGAGGAATAGAGAGATAGAAACATCGATGAGAGAGAAACATCGGATCAGCTGCCTCCTGCACACCCCCTACTGGGGATGTGCCCGCAACCAAGGTACATGCCCTTGACTGGAATCGAACCTGGGACCCTTCAGTCTGCAGGCCGTTGCTCTATCCACTGAGCCAAACCGGTTAGGGCGGTGGTACTATTTTAAGAGCCGATTCCCCATAAAATAAAAAATCCTTTCTCTACTTCCCTTGAGTTTTCACCTATCCCTCTGGGCCCAGCCGCTGTTGGCTTTTAGTTATCCTTGGGTGTGTTATTTTCCTGTGACCTGATTTGCCTCAGTGGATGTGCCTGTTACATTTCATTCTTGTTTGCCTTTGGCAGACCGGGAGGAGAGGAGATAACGTGCAGGAGTCAACCAGTCTCAAACCAGCAATCCCTGGGTCCTCCCCCTTCCCAGCTCTTCTACCCCCAGCAGCTATCCTGTTCCAATGACACTGGGAGAAAGTGCAGAGAGCACCAGGGCCCAATGAGTGCCTGGTCTGTGCCGGACCCTGTGCTTTGCCTACAGGACCTCACTGAGGATCCTTACGATGAGCTACTTCCTCTCATCATCCCAGGAATCCTCACCATCCTGCGGGAAAGCTGATTGGAAATTAAATGTTGACTATTCCTGTTCTATAGATGATGAAATTGAAGTTTTGCAAGGTTTCTTTGCTAGCCACAGGGTCTTTCCCTATGCTGTGTTCCCAATTTCATCCTCTTTCTTCCTCCAACCTTAACTCTAGTGAGGCTCACAGGACACTTTCCCAGTCTGTCCACATGACTGCTTCATAGGTAGGGGTTCAGGGAATGAACGTTAGAACATTAAAGTAAACAAAGCCACCAAAGTCAGTGCTACCTGAATAAGATTGTATATTCCGTAGCTGAACATAATTGGGGCTTTGTTGTTTTCTAATACTCAGTAATGGATTACATATGTAATCCTTGGCCCCTCGATTAATAATAGTAGGTACTTAATATGGTTTGGTGAACATTGAATTAATGTGGATGGGGGAGAATGAACAGCTTTAAACAAAATCTTTTCAACGTGTTAGATTCCCTAAGAGGAGAATGGCGATGAGGTTAGCATTAAATGTTTTCTATGTGAGCTCATGGTTACACCATGGGCGATCAAATTATTATTTGCATGTATTTATTCACCAAGCATTTTTTTGACATAATATGTGCCCCGTCTAGTCAGGAAACTTAACCCCAGGGAGCAGAAAATCAGAGGCACTAATTGTGCAGAGTGGGAAACAAAGGGCTATGATGCATGGCCCTCCCTACTGTTGGCCAAATATCCAGCCACGACCCTCACAGGCAGCTGTTTCCTGCAGAAGCAATTGCTCATAAATCCTTTTATCTGGACCCAATAAATGGCTCACATCCTGGAGCAGGGCACAGGGCAAGCTCTTAGAGTTAGAGCACAGGGCTAGCCTCAAGCACTTGCTTCCCTTAGTAAAAAGGAAATCTATGGAAAGGGCTCAGCCCGGTGCCTGGTATATAGTGAGGAGTCCATCATAAAGTAATTGTTATTATAACAGCTTGTTCAAATGTGTTTTGAATTGGAAGTGGGATAAAGAAGGCTATTGTATTCTTAATATACATTATATGTTTAATTTTGCAACAATCCTATGAAGCAAATATCACTGTTTTACAGAAGAGAAACTAAGACTCGGAGTGTAGGTAACATGCCCGTGGAAGAGCTGGGACTTTTTAACTCTTGTTCTGATTCTAAGCCTACACCCTATCTGTGGCCCTGGCTTGCCTCTCAGGAAAGGGAGTAACTACCAAATAGGAAACTTTCTGGCAGATCTAAGCACACACCCAAAATTTCATGGTTACTTTGTGTTTTTAATGTTTTCTTCCTTTTTTATGAAATGGAAATTCTGGCTTTTCCAGTGGAAACCAAGAGCTTAGAATTGAGACTAGGGTTGAATTGTATTATACCTTTATTTTACAGGGTTTCAGGCCTGTTAATTGCAGTGCCTGTTGATTTTATATTTCTCAGGAGGGGGAAAAAGTGTTGCTTTCAGTTGTTGACTGCTTTAAATGATAAAAATCCAAAAACTTGCCCACAGAGAAGTGACTCAAGTATCCTAACATATGACAACATCTTCATGGGGCCATATGGGACCAACTCTCCAGACCAGCTTGGAACAAGCCAAGGATTAGAAGTTCATGTCACATGAAGATACTTCTAATTCCCAAGTGACGTGGGATCGTTTTAATGAGAAATTGGCCAGAGATGCTGAATCTCTGAAGGCATTAGCGAATTATTTGAAAACTCTCACAGAACAGTTCTACTTAATTTTAAATTAAAATCACGTTAATGACTTATCCCAAGCTCAAGCTTGAGCAGGGTCAAGTAGAAGGAAGGTTGGATCTGCCTTTGGACAGGTGGGGGTTTAAGCCTGATTGCACACTGCTCCATCCATCACTTAGAGGAAGTCACAGCAATCCTCAGGACCAGCTCCCATCATCTGTGTAAAACGTAAGTTACTGTGGGAATCCCAGAACTGCCCAGCACCCAGCACATTGCCCGATCAAAGAGGCTTTAGCAAGTGTCATTGTCTTTTTTGTTGTGTTGAGTGACAGGAGCTCACTGTGATGGGCACTGCTGGTGCATAGGATTTTAGGATCTCACATTCACCATCTAACCAACCTCTACGAAGGAGAGTAGGAAACCAGCACCCAGTCGCGGACCAGGTAAGTACCAGAGCTGGACCTGAACCCCAGAGCACCTTGCTGGTCAGGTAAGGGGTCCCCGCACCACAGGACTTGCTTCCACTTCTAGAGGAGAGAGTGTACAGTTATAGGAAGAAGAAGAAACGCATCAGCTAGAAGAACATCCTTGAAGTTTAGGACCTTGCTTGAAATGTTTGTAGTAACCATCATTGGCGGCCTTCAGTACAGCAAGATTTGCTCATTATCCTGGCATCGTGGTCTGATGTGCAGGCAACAGAGGGGAGAGGGAGCCGAATGCTCCTCGACGCGCTCGCATCCCTGGCCTCCCCTGGCCTCCCCGCCTCTGATTCCAAGCCACTCTCCAGGGCAAGGCCATGCAAGCACAGCAACCCAGCAGTCGCATCCAGGGATGTTTTATTTATGGCTTTAATAATGGAGTCTCTTGGGAAATGTTTGGTTTCCCATTCCCAGAAGCAAAAATGCATCTGCAGAATGTTCTTGAAATTTATTACTGTTTATGTGTTTTTCCTACCACCACAGTCTCTGAGCCACCTTAATCGAGTTTAAACTGTCCCTTGGCAAAAATAGCATCACTTAAGTGATCACTCGTTTGGCTGACACGTTCTATACCTGATCCACACAGTGTAGAGCGTTGAGAAAAGAGGTTGGTAGCGCTGCTGATCGTAATATGAACATAATCCTGTGTTGAACTTGCCGTGTTTATTACCAAACTGCCACGAATCCCATGGGAGTTTGTTTCAGCCTTGTCCCCTTCCCAGTCCCTTATTCCCAGTCTTTGGGAAACAGAACCCACGTGTCCTGGAGGCACTCAGGCTTGACGTTGTTTCCATGGTGACGGGACATGCCCAAGGTTCACATTTCATTTCATTTTATACCTAAGTGATCTTACAGAGAAATGGTGCCATCTGAGGCTGGAGGATTGCAGAAAGGGAGTGGCCCCTGATCTGGGGCGGCCTTAGTTATCGGAGGGACTCTGGGAGTTTCTGTTAAAGAGAGGGCGTGGGTATTCATCTTACAAAGAAGAGGTTGGAATTTCCGCAGAGATGACTGGTTTGGACCTGTTGTGTCCAGTGCATCAGAGATTTCATCTTGCCTCGGGTAGACCTAGGTTTCACCTGAGGGACAGACTCTCCTGAGAAAGCAATGCCATGAGCATAAGGCAGGCAGACCCACCATGAGAATCCTAAAATCCTTCCTGCCTGTGGGAGGAGACTACCAGGCTCTAGTTACTGTGTGACCTTGAATAGGTCGCTTATCTCCCAAGGCTCAGCTGACTTACCTGTGAAAGAGGCTTTAAGGACTGAGTAAGACGATGCTTGTAGAAGTGCCTAGAATGAAGCCTGGCCATCTAGAGCTAGAGATTCTCTGACTGGCTTATTTCGCTTAGCGTAATTTATAGATGGCAAAATTCACAGTTGTACAGTTCTGTGAGGTTTGACAAAACTCAGCAGTATAGAGTCATGTAACTAATCAAGATACAGATTATTTCC